TAACGTCTGTAGGTTCAGCTCTGGACCTGTTTGTTCACCCCATGTGGGAAAGATTTTATACATTTATTACAATTTGAAGCTGTCAGGAGGACTCTCCTTTCTTATTGCCGTATGGCTTTGCCTTCTCAAAACCGTCGATAAGAAACACTAGTTTTGTAGAAGGCATCAACAAATCAGACCAGCATCTACAGAACCATGTCTCCAGAAGAACACTGGCTTACATGTTGTGGTCCTCAAATAGGAGCATTGCTTTAAAGAACTAGCAAATTATCTTACAGCGTTACGGTTTGAACTTTTTTTGCAGCTTAGAAAAGGCAAAGATACGTATTTATGAGCAATGATGAGTAGATGCAAGTACGGAAAGCAGATGTAGATAATTCTGAGGCAGATGTTGTAGGTAAAACAGCAGGGACGGTTGGACTCAACGCTGGGCAGTCACAGTTCACCATTTCTGGGTAAGATCTGGTGACAGTTGTGTTGAGCGGACAGTTTGTCCCAGGAAAAACTTGGAACTGAGAGTCTGGTGTCCGCAGTCTGTTGTGAAGTTCTTCCAGAGTCTTGGTCTCCAGATGTTTGTCTTTGGACTCATCTGGAACGTTGTAGCCCCAGTGTGCGCTTGCCACCCACGCCTTTGCGTTGGCGCTGTAGCAGCAGAACGCCGACCAGAGCATGGAGGGAATATTGATCCGGTTGTTGAGAGTCTCGTTGAAGCTCGGTTGGGCTCCAGTCACCCCGAAGCCTTCAGTAGCACCGTTGTTGTTCACGCAGTACTTTTCCATCACGCACTTGGTGCACCTCTCCATCCGGTTCCAGCTTCGCTTGTTGAAGGACTCTGCTTGTGGAACGATGTTGGTCAGGGTGAAGGTAGATTGCTTGTCTTCGTGCGTTGATGCGTAAGAACTGGCGAAAACGTGACCCCTGTCGAAGGTTCCGTTGGATCTGTAGTCCGTGGTCACAGCCTGGTGGTTGTAGGTCTTGTTCTTTGCTTGGATGATCATGTTCTCGTTGGCGTTTTCGTTCTCGAGCTGTGAAGAGCAGAACAGATCGTTAATAAGAAGGGTACGACTGAATGACCTGCGTTCATTTTCACAAGAAACCAATGATTTAACGAGGGTCATTGAGTTCTTGTTTAACTTTAGAATTTACACCAAAGACAATTTGTCACTAAAGTAAAATATTAGTGTAAAAAGTAGCTTCAGAACCTTTTTAAATAAATTCAGGCAATTCATTTGATTTCATTAAAGAAATTTTCCAGCCAAAAGACAAGAGGAGATCTATGGATGCAGTTAGAGGACATGGAGGTGGTTGGAGTGAGGACAGAGTGAGATGGAGGGTGACTCGCTGTGGAGACTCGTGGAGAGGGAACAGAAGAAGAAGAAGAACGGCATGGGTGAAGGTTATAAACCTGGATACACTACTGACTTCTACAGGCATTGAAAAGTAAAGTACAACTAGAGAATTTGCATTTCCTGCGAAAACGCAAGTGTGAATGCCTCTTGATTACGAATGTCAAGAAAACAGTTGAAAAGTAGCTTCAAATGGCAGAAGGAAGCAGAACGTGCACAACTGTTCCTAATGTAGTGGACTGCCAGGCTGCTGCCCATATATAAACTCTTGATCCGACTGTACTATGTGTTTGGGTTTGCTCTCAGCTACCACTATACCAAATTTCAGCTAAATAGCTCTAAAAAATGCTTAAGTTATTATATTTTCTCCTTTTGAGCTAAGGTGGCCATGTTGGATTTTTGATTTGGATGCAGTATGTGAAAGGGAATGTTCTCAGCTATAACCTCACCAAATTTCAGCTCTGTATGTGTAGAAATTGCTGAGTTAAATAGTTAAGTAGTATTTAAGTAGTGTTGGCAGCCATCTTGGATTTTTGATTTTCATGCAGCATTTTATGTCAGCTGTAATGACTCCAACTTTCAGCTAAATATGACTAAAATTGGCAAATTTAGAGTATTTTCCCATTTTTTGACAAGGTGGCCATCTTGGATTTCTGATTTTCATTCAGTCTATTAGGGATTTTTGTCAGCTACCAATATACCAAGTTTCAGTTGAATAGCTGTAAAAATGGCAGAGTTATCACGTTTTTTCTATAAAACAGCTGAATAGTAGCTAAAGAAATATATAAGCTTAAATTTCCAAAAGGAAGTGGAGGGAGCTTAATTGTGTCCACTAAGGCTGTAACAGGCAAAAAATTAGTACAATAAAGTTAAAATTATCAAAGAAAAGCTGGAATTTGCTAAAAACAGCTGAATAGTAGCTAAAACAAACCGAAAGAAGCTTAAATTACTAGAAGGTTGTCAGGGAACATGCTTTTGCTGAATTAGACTGACAAAAGTTAAAATGAGGGCAAAAAATGTTGGAATTAGCTGATAAAAATGAAATTAGCATGAAAACAGCTAAATACTAGCTTAAATGGTAGACATAGCTGAAACACATAGAAATAAGCTGAAAGGAGCAGAACAAGCATAAATGAGCATAAACAAGTTTGAAGAAGCACAAAAATGTTGACGTTAGCAGAATGAAGCTGAAAGGACCACAAAACAGCTGGAAAAACAGCTGAAATTAGCTGAACTAGCTAAATTTTGTTTAAAAATTTGCACAAGAAAGCTGAAGGAACCTTAACCAGGTCTAAATGTGAAACTGTTAGTACAAGGTTGTAAACGGATCAAAAATTATCAAGGATTCATTTTCAATGAGAGCAAAAATGGCAGAAAAGGCAAAATTTCTAAAAAAAAAGAAAAACTAAAGTTGCACCAACACCAAAAGTCATAGCAGTCATGTCCTGAAACAGCTGAACGTTTTGATTTATGATTTGTTAAAACAGTGCAAAAACTGTGGAAGTAGATGCCGAAAAACTTGCGGAAGAAAAAGTGAATGCCTATAATAGTGTGAATGCCTGTAATAGTGTGTATGTCTATAATAGTGTGTATGTCTATAATAGTGTGAATGCCTATAATAGTGCGAATGCCTATAATAGTGTGAATGCCTGTAATAGTGTGAATGCCTGTAATAGTGTGAATGCCTGTAATAGTGCGAATGTCTATAATAGTGTGAATGCCTATAATAGTGCGAATGCCTATAATAGTGCGAATGCCTATAATAGTGCGAATGCCTATAATAGTGCGAATGCCTGTAATAGTGTGAATGCCTGTAATAGTGCGAATGTCTATAATAGTGTGAATGCCTATAATAGTGCGAATGCCTATAATAGTGTGAATGCCTGTAATAGTGTGAATGCCTGTAATAGTGCGAATGTCTATAATAGTGTGAATGCCT